CCCCACCACACCCAGCACTACAAGCTCCTTTAAGGGCTGGATCTTGACCCCCTGGAGAAGGTTTTTAGGGAGACCACCACTCCACAAACCCTTTGTAATATGAGTTTTACCCCCCTTAAGGATTTTTTGGGGTCCCACCCCACTCCAAGTCCCTTTTAAGGGGGGGTTTGCCCTCCCATTACAGGGGTTTGGGGCTCCCCAACACTTCAAACCCCTTTTAATGCACTCCCCAACCCCAAAAGTCCTTTTTAAGAGTTTTTCCCACCCTTTTAAAGATTTTTGGTGGAGCCCCACCACTCCTAAGCCCCTTTAAAGAGCTCCTTCTCTCCCATCCACTTTATTTTGGTGGTGGTCCCTCTACCATCGCTGCTTTAAGAACTCCCCTTAGAGTTTCCACCTTGACCCCCCTTAAAAGGGCAACACCACCTCCACTGGTTCTGGCACGGGAGCCCCGGGGGATTTGGGGGCTTCCTGAAGAAGTTTTGCAGGTCCCAGAGGAGATTTGGGCATCCCCGAGTATTTCTGGGAGGTTCCCAATAGATTTTTGGCATCCTGAATGTGGTTTTKGGGGTCCCAGTGCGATTTTGGGGGTACCCATGTTGTTTTATACGTGGGGGTGCCTGGGGTGTTTTGGGGGCCCCAGGGAGGGGACTTAAGGTTTCCAAATAGATTTTGGCGGTCTTGAGTGGATTTTAGGGGCTCCCAGTGGGGTTTTTGGGAACCCCGGGGGATGTTCAGAGGGGTCACAGTGGGGTTTGGGGGGTTCACAGAGTATTGGGAGGGGGATTTGGGGGCTTCTGTGGGGATTTTGGGGGTTCCATGGGGATTTTGGGGTTTCTGGAGGGAATTGAGGGGTTTTCGGGTTACCTGAGCAATGCTGATGACAGAGATGGGGATCCTGTGCCAAGTATAAACCTCATTCTGCATGGGCAGCGTCAGAGTGTTCGGGAGATGCTGGGGAGTTCTCATGGTCATAAGCACAGTCATGGTCATCTCATTGTAATGGTCATTTCAGGGTCATGGTCATCTCATGGTCAATGTCCTCTCACAGCCATTGCATGGTCAGGGTCATTTCCTCATCACCATCATCTCATGCTCATCATCATTCCATTGTAATGGTCATGGTCATGGTCATCTCATGGTCTTGGTCACCACATGGCCATGGTCATGCTGTGATCATCTCACAGTCATCTCTGCTCCCGGTGTCCCCATTCCCAATTCCTGATGTCTCCAAGCTGCTCCCAGTGTCCCCATCACAGTCTCCCAAGTCCCCATTCCCATTCCTGGCTCCCAGAGAGGAACTGCCGGACACCAGAGGAGGGAACCAGGATTTATTGCCCCAAGCAGGATTGATTGCCCAAAGCAGGRTATTTTCACACCAGAATTAAAGCATTGGGAATATTTGTGGTGCTTGTCTTTCAGACAGGGAAAAACAGGGAACTGATCCATTGTGATGAGCTGCAGGATGGGTGGGAG